GCAGCGGGGCTGAGTGTGGGGAAGGGCAGGTCAGTCAGGGCGGCATGGCTGAGCGTGGGGAAGGGCAGGTCGGTCGGGACAGCGTGGCTGAGCATGGGTCGCTGCTGGCTGCGTGTGGAGGGTTCTCGAGCCGTCCCGGTTGACCCCATGGGATGTCATTCCCTCAAACTAGTCCCTTCTCCTCTTCCGCCGTGCAGTCTGATTTGTTTATGTGCCTGTGCAATGTTTCTGACACTGGACTTGTGTTCCAGCGCTGCCGAGTGATCTCGTCTTTGCCTAAGCTTATTTGTGCTTCTGGGCTTGGACAAGGGGCCCTTCGGGGAGAGGAACCGCCTGTGAAAGGCGAGGCCTGCGTCTGAGTCCGGAGTCCGTGCTTCTGCACCCTGCTCTCCACAGGCATCTCGGAAGCGCTGCACAGTACAGCACAAAGGAGCTTCCGATCCGTGCTCAGGTGGATGAGCCTGCAGAGGCTGGTCTGAAGTTCAGCTCCTCACCTGGGGCTCTGTACACCCGTTCGGGCTGTAACTGCTCTGCTTCGGACATCCTAAAGAGGAAATGAGCGTTCCACCCCAAAAGGCACTAAAACTGTAGGCTCAGGTAATAATAGCCAACGCATAGTAAAAATTCTCTTGCTGTCCAGATGGAAGTTGCCTTTCAGGTACTGAAATCTGAATTCTCCTTTTTCGCTGAACCCTGTGGTAATTGTGGCTTAGTTTGTACGAGCCTGTACTAGAGTTTAGGGCTCTTCTACGGACACATACCTGGCTGCCCAAACAGACCCCTGCGTGACTGACTGTGCTTTAGAAAATCAGTCGCTGGTATTGTCCAGGTTGCTGTGCGGAAGGTTTTTCTAATTGATAACTGTTAGAAAGAAGCAAAATAAGTGAAAATGTAGAAGTAGATGCATCTTGCACAGAATCAGTCTCTTACTGATACTCAGACATCATAAAATCTGATGGACTTTCATGTTTTCCTTTAAATAGCTCTCGGTTTGGAAAACAGCAGCTTATCATGATGGCAGAAAGGATGAGATAGTCAAAGCCTGATAATTCATAGGCAGAGTAAGAAAATACATCTTTTTAGGGGGAAAAATGTACCTAATTTTAGTAATACGTGGATGAGCTTTGCGTTTGCCTGCAAAGGTGGTGGAGCACCAACGCCGTATCAAGTCGTGGAGGCGCAGCACGTGCGTGAAGGCACACGCCGGGTGGGTATGACGGTGCCGCACAGAGCAGTTAGTTTAGAGGTGGGAGAGGAGCAGGGCTTTGCGCTGCTGCTGACCGCTCGGTCTCGTGAAATCGGTCTTTCTTCCGGCGTCTCTTCCCCCTTGACAATGCAAAACCTGTTTCCAGTTTGCACGTGGAGGCGCACGCGTTGTGCAGGGTCTCGGCGCGTGCGAAGGAGCAGAACTCCCTCTGGAAAACTGGGAAATGACGGAACAGTAAAAGTCCTGATCAAACCACCTGACGTGGGGAGGCAAAGGGCGCTGCGGCTGTGGTTCCCAAAGCTCCTTTGCTGGGCCCTAGCGTGAGCAGCCAGCGCCGCGGTCCCGGGGCGGTGTGCGGGAGCCCTTCTCTGTCCTGCTCTGTTTGCGTCACTGCCCCCGGTGCTGCGTCGGAGCTCCTGCTCTTGCACAGAGCAACGCAGAATCGCAGCCCGTGCCCACCGGGTTGGCTGACGGGCGAGCGGTGCTGCCGCGTTGTTACGCGGGGGAGTGAAAATCCGTCTGCTGGGTGGGTTTGTGTGCTTGGGGTAAAAGGGATAAGAAGTAATTCCAAATGAGCCATGTGGTTCCTTTTGTGATCGTTTTTTCTCTTTCTGCAGCTCTACTGAGAAGTCATTTCCGTGGAGATCATCAGGTATTGCCTCTTTCGTGTACGTTCTGCTCTAGGGCCCAGACCCTGTACCTCCTTGGTATTCGGTGCTTGGTTTGGAACGAGCCGATGGCCAGCAGCAGCGCTACGCAGCCTCCGCGAGGTCCTTTCCTCACACGTACCCTGGCTGTCCCTCCTCACGCCTGAGGATGCCTGCGTCCCGCTGGTACTGTAAAAGGCCGGTTTGGCACTTGCGGGTCCGTTTCTTGCACCTTTTTGTGCCTCTGAATGTCTGGGAGGAGTGACATAAGAGCCTTGGGTGTTGGGTCTCCTTTGCGGCCAGCTCAGAGACTCTGAGTCTGCCCCTCGGCAGGCGAAGGTGACGGAAAGGTCCTGTGCACTTTGAGCTGGAGAACGGGTGTTCTTTTCCCAGGTGTCCTTACTTAACTGAGCAAGTCTGATAAGCCAGAGGGGTTTCCGAGTGCTTTTCCCAGTTTTGTGTGTCAGGCCAGACTGAATGTTCTTTCCGAAACAGGAACATTTGGGCTGTAGCACTCCTACCCTTGGGTATGGTAGGTGGGACGGGTGGGACTGTGCAGTGAAGGCAGCGCTCAGGTGGCTGCTGAAGTATTCCAGCCCGTCGCCCAGGGATCAAAGCCTTTACCTCGTTTGGGTTCTGCATCAGTTAGAATGTTTAGGCTGAGGAGCCACTCTCCCAAGAGCTGTCGTCTCCCCGGAGTGAAGAAGCGCGTGTGCAGAGGTCAGCGTGTCTGCACGCCAGCAGGACCGGAAGTGGGACCCCCATGCCCTGCAAATCACCTTTTGCACTGGGTGGTTTCCCTGATCAGCTCCTGACGCCGTGTCCTGCCAGGCAGTGCCGGGTTTGGGTAGCTTGCTAAAGCTCTGCTGCCCAGGTTGAGCGCAGCGTCGAGGGCGCGAGGGCTGCCCCGTTCTGCTGCCCAGGGAAGAGCAGGCACCCGCTGGGCCTCCCAAGCGTGTTTACGGCTGTGGTAGTTGTGACTCTTTTGGGTAAATGAGTCTCTCAAAGGATCTGCTTTCCCCTGCCCTTCCCGTTTTGTGTGTTGTGCTGAGCGGTGGAACTCTGCGTAGCCCTACGTACCCGCTCTCCGTTGCCACTGGGGCGCTGCCTCGGCAGCCCCTTCCCTTTCCTCCAACCGGACGTTCTCAACCTCCCGCTTTCCAGTTGTGCCACCCACAGCGGTGCTTTCCAGCTGTCTTTAGCGATGCTTTTAAACACAGCTCAAATTTGGTTCTTTCAAGTAGTTGAGAAATCAGTTTTACTCATCCTTCCGAAGCGGGGACCGTTTTGAAGTGTTTTCATCACGTCCTTTCCCCTGGTGCTGTAACTTTCCAGAGACAGTCCACAACAGGTAGAACCTCGCTGAACTCCAGCTTCCTGTTCCTGCTTTTTGCTTCTTTGCTTTCTGTGGGTTCCGCTCTCCCGTTTGTGTCTTAGCCTTCAATTCTCTCCCGTTTGTGTGTTTCTTGTCTCCAGAAGTCTCCTAACACAGGGAAGAATGCCGTTTTGTTTCAGCGCGTGGTGCCTTCGCGCGAGCCCGGCTGCGCTGCTCGCATCTCCGTGCGGCTGGGTCAGCCTTGTCTGCAGTGGCCGCTCGGGAGCGGGCATGCTTCAGAGAAGGATCTTGTGGGCTTACAGCTTTCAGATGGACATTTAACGCTGACGCTGGGGGTGTTCAGGGTTGGTTGGGCTTTACGTCCAGGTGCGCTCTTGATCTTCGTTTTACAGAAGTGTCGCTGGATGGTGCTCGACCGACTGTCCGAATAACAGGGAGGTTACAGAGGAATGAAAACGGCTCCTTAAGTCACCGTCTCTCCCTGACTGCACAGCAGAGTGTGTATCCAGAGGCAGCAGCAGTGACCGCAGCTGAAATTCCCATACGTGTCAGTGGATTACACAGGACTTGTCACAGAAACACGAGATGTTGACATCCCGCAGATGCATATAGGCAGAGGACTGGACCAGCAGCGTCACAGCAGGCTGTTGTTCTGCGCAGGGCACCCTCCCCCGAGTCGTGGAGCAGAGGAAGATAGGACGACAGCAGCTCATCTTGCGGTGCATTCTCTCCTCGTGAGAGCCCCAACAGTCTGTGGTTCTCAGCTTCGTGGAGGCATTGGCTGGGTGGCCAGCGTGCGAGGGAGGCAGCGGTTTGGGGCAGACCTCTGTCCCCGCAGAACCCCTGCGCCTGCGCAACTGCGCTTTATTCTCCCGGCGCGATTCTCCCCAGATCAGTTCTTTGGCCGCTCGACAAGGATTCAGTGCCGTGCAGTGTCCAGCGAAGGGCCGTGTCTGTTTCAACAGCAGGGCTGGAAGATCAGGATGTTGACGTGGGGTGTAACGGTGGAGTAATTGAAATGTGCCCGTCCCCATAAGTCCGTTACTCTAACGAACGTGGCGCCCCCGCTGAAGCCTGGCGGTCAGTCGGCGAGGTTGTGTAGCGGGAGCTGTGGCAGTGGGTTATCTCCACGTCGTTCCTAGGGATGCTGCTGCTGCTGAAAGTTATGGAAGTGCCACAACGCTTCCTGGAAAATCTTTATGTGCAGCCGTAACGCCCCTGTTACCGTGAATTAATTTGCGGCAGACTTGGCTGGTGGGTTGGCCTCGGCTGTACTGCGGATCCGTAACTGCTGCCGTCCCGCCCCCGAGGTGTGCTGGCTTTTTAACCTGCCGTAGAGTCTGGCGCGCGCACAGCGTCCCCACGCGCTCCACC